GGGGTGGGGAGGAGAGTAGCCACACAACACAAATGGTGGGATACAGTCCTTTTGAGGAGGCCATGCCAGCAAGGATTAGGAAGTAGATCTAAGTGTGGCCCTTGATGCAGAGATGTCAGGAGTTATGATCAAAGGAGGGAGCCAAGCATATGTGACTGGCCATGAGAGAGCCATATAGGTGATCTGGGTCCACTGTCTAGGACCTGGATGCCATGAGAGGTAAGGCAGCTGTATAGGGTGAGGTAGTGGTGTGGGTGTGAAGGGTGAGGAGGAGGTGAGGTGGGTGTGGGAGGTGAGGAGGTGAGCTGGGTGTGGGAGGGGAGGATGAGGTGAGCTGGGTGTGGGAGGGGAGGAGGAGATGAGCTGGGTGTGGGAGGGGAGGATGAGGTGAGCTGGGTGTGGAAGGGGAGGAGGTGAGCTGGGTGTGGGAGGAGAGGAGGAGGGGAGGTGAGTGTGGGAGGGGAGGAGGAGGTGGGGTGGGTGTGGGAAGAGAGGAGGAGGTGAGCTGGGTGTGGGAGGAGAGGAGGAGGGGAGGTGGGGGGGGGAGGGGAGGAGGAGGTGAGCTGGGTGTGGGAGGAGAGGAGGAGGTGAGGTGGGGGTGGGAGGGGAGGAGGAGGTGAGCTGGGTGTGGGAGAAGAGGAGGAGGTGGGCTGGGTGTGGAAAGTGAGGAGGTGAGGTGGGTGTAGGAGGGGAGGAGGTGAGGTGGGTGTGGGAGGAGAGGAGGTGAGGTGGGTGTGGGAGGTGACAAGATGAGGTGGGCTGGGTGTGGGAGGAGAGGAGGAGGTGAGGTGGGTGTGGGAAGTGAGAAGGTGAGGTGGGTGTGGGAGGGGAGGAGGAGGGGAGGTCTGAGATGGTGGAAGGACAGGGAGGGCTGGGTTGAAGAGCACAGCTCTAGCCAGGAAGGGGTGGTTGGTTTCCATGCCAGAGTGGAGGGTCTATGACTGGTTTCTGTGGCTGGTGGACATCCTCTCTGGGTTGGGGTCTGCATCTTGTGTTGTGGTGGGTCTGATGGTTCTCCCCTGCAGCAGTAGGGGGCTCACTGTGTGTGGTCAGGTGGTTTGGAGTGGACTGAGAGCCCAGGCTGAGGGTTGGGGTAGGGGCTCGCTCAGCTGGAGTTGGTGGGCTGGCCCATGGCTTAGGGGCCAACTGTGTGATGGATGGTAGCCAGTTGTGTGGGCACCCCTGCAAGGAGACAGGTGGGTGTCCCCTCTCATCAGAACAGCCCCTGTGAGGGGTGTCCTGCCTGTGTCCCTGGGGCCCCACCTCCAGAAGGTGCCTGTGTTGCCAGCTTGGTATGTGTGGCCTGTTTCTTGTCTACAAACTGCAGCATCCAATGGTCTGTGTGTCCATCTGACCCTCCATAGTCCTGACCCCCCAATTCACAAAAGTCTTGGGTCCTGAGACAGCCATGGAGGTTCCATGTCCGTGCTGCACATGTCTGTGAGTTGTGCAGGGTTCCCCCCTGAAGTGGTGGAACAGGCCTGAGACCCTCAGCGATGGGGAATCAGGACCAGGCCTGGCCATAGTGAGGTATGGCTGGCAGTCTGGTGACAGGTCAGGGGGTCCGGGATTCAGGGGCCTGGGTCTTCAGGGGCCCTCCTGAGGTCCTGGCCCCTCCTGAAGGCCAAGTAGATGGACAGAGACAGGACGGGGCCACCCCTATGTCCTAGGAGGGTCCAAGGAGCAACATCGATGAAGGAGCACAGGGGCAGGGTGGGCCTCAGAAAGAGCAGAGAGAAGGGCACCTCTGCAGGTGTGATGGCCGCCAGTCATGGGCCTCCAGACCCACCCATGAGACAAGGTGGGCAGTGAAGAAGAGGATTCTGGAGGCTGGGCAGGGCCATCATGTGCACGATGTTCAGACCTTGGGGGAGAAGCCACCACCATGACTCCTCAAGCTGCATGGACCTCCAGCAGGGACGCACTGTGCCCTGTGCTAGTCAGACTTCCTGGGAGACCAAAGGAGCACGGGCTCCGAGGGCTTCACTCAGCCAACAGCCAGAGTACAAGACCTGCAGTGACAAGCTCCAGGTGGCTCCAGAGAGCTGCTTCTAGAAGTGTGGGGGTTCTAAGGACACCTGTACCAGGGCAACAAGCTCACAGACCTTCCTGGCCGGGGTGTTCCTTACTCTGGTCTGTCCAGCTCTGGCCTCAGGAGCTACAGGAGGTGATGAGGAGTAAGCGCTGATGCAAACTCGTGGGGGAGATTTAGGCAGCCCTTTTCATGCCTCCTCCAGCCATACGTGTAAGGGTCACAAATTGCTAAAAAATAGGGAGCCATGGAGGGGGTCATGGCCATGGTGTTGTTATCTGAGCAGCCTGGCGTGTCGAGTGAGGGAAGGGGCCAGGGGTCTTGACTCTGACCTCAAAGTCTGAGGCAGGACAAGGAACAGAAGGTTCCAGATTACATCCTTCTGGTCACTATCTCTGTCCATTGAAACTATGGCCATTTCCCTGTGTCTGTCCTGCTGAGAGGTCCTCACTGAGAGTCCAGCTCCTTCTCCTCGTCACTGGCCTTCACCTCGATAGGCACCACTTCCCACCACTGTCTCCATGTGTTCATGAATCCTCGTTTGCTCCAGAGTGTGTTTCATTGTCAAGTGTCCATGTCTTGCCCAAACCCCCAAGTTCCCCAGGCAAACTGATGTTTTCTGGGTCCTTCTGACCTCCCTAGCCTTGCCTGCGAAGTTCACAAAGGGTCTGAGGAATGAGGAGGCAACTGAAGGGGCAACGGCCACACTTCTCTGCGAGCTGAGCAAGGAGGCACCTGTGCAATGGAGGAAGGGGCTTGAGACCCTCAGAGCTGGGGACAGAGTCAGCCTGAAGCAGGACGGGGTTGTGTGTGAGCTGGAGATCCGAGGTCTGGCTGCGGCAGATGCCGGGGAATACTCGTGCGTGTGCGGGCAGGAAAGCACGTCGGCCACACTGACAATCAAGGGTAACAACAACTGTGGCCAAGCAGAGCCCTGTTTTGGTGTCCGGTTACTTGTTTCATGACATCTACGTGCACTCATTCCATGTTCTCTGCTGTCTCAGTGTCATTCTCTACCCATAATTCCACAGAATTCCTTCCACCTTCCCGGCTGTTGTGCAAACCATGAGAAACCAGTATCTAGGCCACTTCTCATTCCTCATGTCACCACTGGTTTTGTTCTGTTTCCTGTCAGAGTCTGTGTCACCTCGTCCATCCAGTCATGTCCTGCCCCAAATTTCCCCACAGAATCTGTTTCATGTCTTTCCAGCCCTCCCGGCCCTGTCCACCAGTTTCATACAAAGCCTCAGGCCTGAGGCGTCCATGAAAGTGGCACAGCCCTGCTGTTCACAGGCTGGCTGAGGGATGCTACCATGCACAATGTGACTGGGCACACCCAGCGTGTGGCCCGTGTCCACATGGGTTTTATGTCTCCTCTGTGCTGTCCATGTCTTGTCTTATCCATGAGCTCATATGTGTGACTGTGCCCATATCTTTCTGACTCCCAGCCCTGCCCGCCAAGTTCACAAAGGGTCTGAGGAAGGAAGAGGCCACAGAAGGGGCCATGGTAACGCTGCACTGTGAGCTGAGCAAGGCGGCCCCTGTGGAGTGGAGGAAGGGGCTCGAGACCCTCAGTGCTGGGGACAGAGTCAGCCTGAGGCAGGACGGGGCTGTGTGTGAGCTGGAGATCCGGGAACTGGTTGTGGCGGATGCCGGGGAGTACTCGTGCTTGTGTGGGCAGGAGAGCACGTCGGCCACATTGACCATCAAGGGTAAAGTCTGCATATGGCCTCAGGGACCCATGGCTTGGTGTCTTCACATTTCTACTCTGTTGACACCTGCTCCGTTTTAGCATCCATGGGTTTATGTCTCCAACTTGGGTCCCCGAGCATCTTCCAGCTTCATCTCTCTGTCCAGAAGTCCTGATGTCCATGTCTAGTCCTTGTGTCTACTGTTCCTCTTGTTCCATTTGCCTTTGTCACCATCTGTGCATTTGTTCTCAAGTTCATGCCACAGCCAATAGCAGTTTGTGTGGTCCTCGTGAATGTCCTTGTCCTGGACACATAGTCCCACGGACTATCTGAAGTTCTCTGTGTCACTCTAACCCTCCCCAGCCCAGCCTGCGAAGTTCACAAAGAGCCTAAGTGATGAGGAAGCCACTGAAGGGGCCACAGCCATGCTGCTGTGCAAGCTGAGCAAGGCGGCCCCTGTGGAGTGGAGGAAGGGGCTCGAGACCCTCAGAGCTGGGGACAGAGTCAGCCTGAGGCAGGACAGGGACCTGTGTGAGCTGGATATTCGGGAACTGGTTGTAGCAGATGCCGGGGAGTACTCGTGTGTGTGTGGGCAGGAGAGGACGTCGGCCACACTGACCGTCAGGGGTAAAGACCATGTGTGGCCAAGCAGAGCCGTGCCTTGGTTTCAGTTACTCGCTTCATGACATCTGCCTGTGCTCATTCCATGTTCTCTGCTGTCTCAGTGTCATTCTCTTCCCATAATTCCACAGAATACCTTCCACCTTCCTGGCTGTTGTGCAAACCATGAGAAACCAGCATCTAGGCCACTTCTCATCCCTCATGTCACCACTGGTTTTGTTCTGTTTCCTGTCAGAGTCTGTGTCACCTTGTCCATCCAGTCATGTCCTGCCCCAAATTTCCCCACGGAATCTGTTTCATGTCTTTCCAGCCCTCCCGGCCCTGTCCACCAGTTTCATACAAAGCCTCAGGCCTGAGGCGTCCATGAAAGTGGCACAGCCCTGCTGTTCACAGGCTGGCTGAGGGATGCTACCATGCACAATGTGACTGGGCACACCCAGCGTGTGGCCCGTGTCCACATGGGTTTTATGTCTCCTCTGTGCTGTCCATGTCTTGTCTTATCCATGAGCTCATATGTGTGACTGTGCCCATATCTTTCTGACTCCCAGCCCTGCCCGCCAAGTTCACAAAGGGTCTGAGGAAGGAAGAGGCCACAGAAGGGGCCATGGTAACGCTGCACTGTGAGCTGAGCAAGGCGGCCCCTGTGGAGTGGAGGAAGGGGCTCAAGACCCTCAGAGCTGAGGACAGAGTCAGCCTGAGGCAGGACGGGGCCGTGTGTGAGCTGGAGATCCATGGCCTCGTGGTGGCGGATGCCGGGGAGTACTCGTGCGTGTGCGGGCAGGAGAGCACGTCGGCCACACTGACCGTCAGGGGTAAAGACCATGTGTGGCCAAGCAGAGCCGTGCCTTGGTTTCAGTTACTCGCTTCATGACATCTGCCTGTGCTCATTCCATGTTCTCTGCTGTCTCAGTGTCATTCTCTTCCCATAATTCCACAGAATACCTTCCACCTTCCTGGCTGTTGTGCAAACCATGAGAAACCAGCATCTCAGTGCTGGGGACAGAGTCAGCCTGAGGCAGGACGGGGCTGTGTGTGAGCTGGAGATCCGGGAACTGGTTGTGGCGGATGCCGGGGAGTACTCGTGCTTGTGTGGGCAGGAGAGCACGTCGACCACACTGACCATCAAGGGTAAAGATTGCCTGTGGCTACATGGACTCATTTGGGTGCCATGGCCCTCTCCTTGTCTCTTGCATCCACACTCTGTACCCATGGGCACTCCCTCCTCTCTGCCTTGAACAATTTCCCTCTGTCTGCTTTCTGCTTGCCTATCACTGTGTTGTCCAGTGTCCTGATATCTAGGTACTGATCTCCATCCAAATGACTTCACTTGATCAGTTCTCATGGTAAAGACAGAATTCCAGCTTGTCCTTCTTCCTATCCTAATCTGTGTATTTTTTCCCCTTTCTAGCCTCTAGTCAGGATCTGAGGGATGGCCCTGTCTTAGGGGTCCGAGGGGACCCCCTGGCCCTGATTGCCTGATGGGACACAGCCCTGCCCATGGGCATCCTAAGTGGAGGCTGGCATGAGATTTGCCTGGTTAGATCCAGAGCTCCTCCCAAAGCTCCCACCATGGACCCTCCTTTCCCTTGAAGTGGACTCAGACCCATGATGCCCATTCCTACCCCAGTCTCCTGGGACCTGTGGCAATGAGTCCATTGGGCATCCAGACAGCTGGGGTGAAGCTGAGAGCCATGCCTGACCTAGGTTCTCAGCGAGGTTGACTGGTGTAGGGGGCCTGTCTCCTGACTAGGTGTGTGTGGAGCTTGTCTCCTGGCTGGGTCTCTAGACTGACCCTGTCTCCCCTCTGCCCACCCACCCCACAGCCCCGCCGTTGGTATTCAGGGAGCCTTTGCAGAGCCTGCAGGCTGAGGAAGGCACAGAGGCCAGGCTGCGGTGTGAGCTGTCTGAACCCAGGGCTGTGGTCTGGAGCAAGGGTGGCCTGGAGCTGCAGGCCGACGAGCGCCGGGAGCCACGGCAGCAGGGCTGCATGGTGGAGCTGGTGCTGCGGGACCTGCGCTGGGAAGATGCGGGCGAGTACACCTGCACCTGTGGCTCCCAGGCCACCAGCGCCACCGTCACCGTCACAGGTGGGCCCCAAGGTGGCCTCTGCCCTCTTCACAGGCCGTGCATGCTTTGGGGGGCCCTCTGGGCTGCAGTCTGTACTGGAGTCTAATCTGAGGGGACCCTGACTCGGGCAGGGCTGGTGAGTGGACCTGACTAGATGTTCGGTTGACTCTATGTCCCCCCTCCCCACAGCTGCACCCGTGCGGTTCCTCCGGGAACTGCAGGCCCAGGAGGTGGATGAGGGTGGGACGGCACGCCTGTGCTGTGAGCTGAGCCGGGCGGGCACCAGTGTGGAGTGGCGCAAGGGCTTGCTGCAGCTCTTCCCCTGCGCCAAGTACCAGATGATTCAGGAAGGCATGACTGTGGAGCTGCTGGTGCACGATGCAGACCAGGAGGATGCTGGACACTACACCTGTGACACAGGCCACGCACAGAGCACTGCCAGACTCTCAGTTCGCGGTGAGCTGCCCGCGGGTCCCTGCCTTCCCAGGGCCCCTCAGACCCTGTGGAGTGGAGGGTGGGGTGCATTGCTCAGCACTTCTAAGTCACCCTCTGGCCCCCCAGCCCCCAGGCCCATGTTCCAGACTGAGCTGCAGGACGCAGAGCAGGAGGTGGGCAGCCTGGCCCGGCTGTGCTGCCAGCTGAGTGAGGTGGAGCCTGGGGCCCCTGTGCAGTGGCTCAAGGAGGGTGTGGAGCTGCACACTGGCTCCAAGTACGAGATGCATCACCGGGGGGCCATGTGTGAACTGCTGATCCACGGGCTCGAGGCCAAGGACGCGGGCCAGTATGCCTGCGTGGTGGGTGGCCAGAAAACCATGGCCTCTGTCAAGGTCAGAGGTGAGCCCTTCCCTAATAGCTGCCCTGTGACCCCCTCCCTCCAGGTGCTGTTCCAGGGGTGGCTCTCAGGCCCCTGGGGTTACAAGCTCTCTCTTCTCATTTCGGCATCACTCCCCTGTCGACAGTGGGGAAAAGGGAGGCTGTGGCCCCTGGGTGCTGCCCTGCCCCCGGCCCCTAGCCGGCAGGTAGAGCAGCCTGACTTGGGCTGTCCTCTCTGAGCCCCTGCCTGTCTGTCTGAAGGTCTTGCCTTTCTGATGTCCCAGCCAGGGCAGGGCTGGCCGCGGGGTGGGGATGGAAAGAGGCAGCTCCCCACTCTGCAGCCCCTTGCCTACTTCCTCCCAACAGAGATGCTTGAGCCCATCTTTGCCCCCAGGGGGTCTCTGTAGCAAATGAGGTGATGGATGCTATGTGAGGCAGATAGAGGCCGTGACAGGACAGGCATGTGAGAGTATCCGGGAAGGCTTCCTGGAGGAGGGAGAGTTAAAGGTTCACCTGGGTGCTCAGGCCTGACTGGTAAAGGGTCCCATCACCCACACCCCTGAGCCTGAGGTAACCATTGTGTGAGGTCTGGTTGACATGGAGGTGCAGGCTGACAGGGAGGTGGATTTCAGCTGTAAGGTGTTGAGGGCAAGGGCCACAGCTGCCCAGGGGTGCCTCCAGGGCCTGCCACTGCAAAGCAGCAAGGTGGCAGAGGTGGTTGTGCAGGGCGACCACACCCACATGCTGCAGCTGAAGGGTGTGACATGAAGATGCAAGCACAGTCTTCTTCCACGTGGGCCTCTACAAGTCCTCAGCCCAGCTCACTGTCCGTGGGAGTGGGTGAGGGTGGCTGCCCCTCTCAGCACACTCGGAGCCAAAATGTCCACACCCTGTTGGGAGACAGAGGCAGACTGCAAGGGTCCCTGCTTTGGGGACTGGGAACTAGCCCCATGCATGGGTGGTTCTGAGGTGGCCCAAGATGCCAGGGTTGAGTGTACCCTGTATGCTTATCTATAGTAATTGGGGTGGGGTGCTGGGGGCAGACTCCAGAACTGGGAGGTGCTCCTGACAGTGGAGCATCCCAGCTGCTGAGGCTGATGCCACACTTCCCTTGGTGCAGCCCCCCAGGTGACCATTCTGGAGCCCCTGCAGGATGTGCAGCTCAGTGAGGGCCAGGATGCCCATTTCCGATGCCGGCTGTCCAGGGCCTCTGGCCAGGAGGCTCGCTGGGCCTTGGGAGGAGTGCCTCTGCAGGCCAACGAAATGAATGACATTACAGTGGAGCAAGGCACACTCCACTCGCTCACTCTCCACAAGGTGGGACCCTGGGACCTGCCTCCATCCACATGCTCCCAGGAGTGTGGGAGGAGAAGATTCCAACTCCCATTGGACTGGCCTGGGGAGTTGTCAGGAGACATGGTATGAACAGGCTGCCAGGCTGAGACCCCATCTCCGCTCCCACAGGTGACCCTCGAGGATGCAGGAACCATCAGTTTCCAGGTGGGCTCATGTAGCTCAGAGGCCCAGCTGAAGGTCACAGGTGGGCAGCCCCCTCCCACACCTGGCAAGGTGATGTCTCCATATCCCTCCCCAGTCAAAGAGCTGTTGGGGGGGGTGTGGTCAGAAACCCAGGTCTTCCAGCAGTTATTTTGCCTTGGGGTGGCAATTTTCCAACCCCTGACTGCTAACACCATGAACTGGATAGCCCACTGAGGTGGGCTAGTGAAGATCAGCGTGGAAAATTCTAGTGTGCATGTGGGGTCCTTGTGTGGGGGTTAGTGCTGTCTGCAGGAGGGAGGTGGGGAGCCTGGCCATTGGGGCAGGGGGTTGGGCCCTAAGGTGGAAGCCCTCTGTATGGCTACTCCTATGGCACAGGCCATCTTAACACACATGTGCATACTTGACAGGCTCCCAGGTGATGGTGACACGTGTACAGTTTTGGGTATAGTGTAGTTGGCCTCAGGCATGCAAACAGGATTTCAAGAACCTTCAACTTAGATTATACCTTGTCTGAAGAGCTGGTTATTCTTGAGTGTCCCTCACCTGCTGTTCTACTCCTGGTTCTCACACCAGTCCCATCCATCTAACCAACTATCTACTATCCATCACCATTCATCCCTCATCCACCCACCCACCATCCATTTATCCACCATACTTCATAATTCATCCATTCATCCATCCATCCATCCATCCATCCATCTATCCATCATCCATTCATCCAACACGTAGCATCCATTCACCATCCACCATCTATTCATCCATCCACCATCAATCCATCCACCATTAATTTCTATCTTCCATCCATCCACCATCCATCTACCATTTACCTATCTATCATCCACCATCTATCCATCCACCAACATCCATCCATCAATCAATTCATCTATTCAATCATTTATCCATCCACTTATAAATCATCCATTTACCCAACCATTCATCTGTTCACCTATCGACTCATCCATTCACCATCTACCGTCCATTGAACAAACCTTCTAAGCCTCTACCCTTGTGTAAGTCTCGGATCTTCAGAGGGGCCAGGTGCAGCTCTGCCATCATGGAGCCCCCAGTCCACTGGGATAATTGGACATTAGAGACAAAGCATGTCCTGGGTCTTCAGGGGTGAACAGATATGGCGAGTTCTGTGGCCTCTAGTGCTGGGAAAGACTGTGGTCTCTGGGATTGGGAAAGGCCTCAAATTGAATGGTGGGAGATGGGCAGTGTCCTAGGTATCGAGATCTGGCTGGGCCAGAAAAGGCTTTGTGTGTTCATCAGGGTGGTTGGTTGTGAGGGAGGACATGGAGCTGGGTTGGGACTTATGCAGGGTTGTGCCTTAACCCCTGTCAGCCAAGTCCCAGCCTGTGCCAACTGACCCGTGTACAGACACCTGGCCATGTCCTTGGGGGAGGGAAATGGCATGGGGTGTCCTGATAGGTGTTATATAGACCAGCTTAGGTACAGTGCTGGAAGTGGGAATGGGGAGCTGGTGGAGCAGTCAGGGACTGTCAGATGTGCACGCTCAGAAGAGGGTTGGGGCAGGTAGAGGGCTGGGGCTGGAGTTTTGGTGGTGCATGCCCAGGAAGGGCTTGGGGAGGTTTCTGAGGAAGGCCTAGCTGGGGCAGGTGTGGGAACACAGATCAGGCAGCAGCCGGGTTGGGGAAGCCCCTGTGCTAGGGCCTGCTGTGTGCTGGGGCAAAAGTAGTTGCCATGGGCATTAGGGCCCTAGAATTTTAGGTTTGGGGACCACAGGTGACATCTGGCCATATGGCCTTCTGGGAATTGAAGAAGCATCTGCTTCCACACCTGCAGGGATGGAAGGCCTACTACCTGAGGCAGACCCCACCCTCTCAGAGTGGCAGCCCCACAGCCTCTTCTCCCCACCTACCTCGTAGCCATGGGGCCTGGGACTTGTTCATTCTGATTGCTGAGGCGGCTGTAGATACATGCCTTCTGTGTATTTTTGTGAAACCAGGTGTATTCTGGAGAGGGTGTGAGTGCAGGGACACTGAGCCCACTCTCTGTGAGTGTTTGAATGTATCATTCCATGAGCAGGGTGGGATAGCTAAACCCCAGTGCCAGGGATCCCCAAAATGGTATACCCCCCACATAGTCCTGTGGGCCCAGGGCACCCCAGCCTGCCCTCCTATTGCCCTCTTGTGCAGAGGCAGCACCATGCCTGGTACGTGGCTTGCAGAATGTGGACGTCTTTGCGGGGGATGTGGCCACGTTCTCCTGTGAGGTGTCCTGTGCGGGTGGGCCCGAGGCCTGCTGGTGGCTGGATGGGACTCTGCTGCAGGACAGCCCCCAGAGTGCCATCTGCGTGCATGATGGGACGGTTCATTCCCTCACGCTGTCGGGCCTGGGGGTTGCTGACTCAGGCACCGTCACCTACCGTGCAGGGCCCCTGGTCTCCACGGCCAAGTTGTTGGTCAAAGGTACCAGCCGATGGGACCCCGCCTGCACTAATGCTTCTGCCATCGCTGCTCCCGCAAGCTTCCTGCAGGCTCCGGGGCAGGGGGTTGGGGACTGGCATTGCTCCACACATGCCATGTGTGGACACTCAGGCAGGCTGCAGTCCTGCTTCCTGGATGAGAAAGAATGCTTGGCTCAGAGCATGAAGCTGGAAGGCCAACTTCATGCCCACCTGCTCGTGGGATCCTGAGAGCTGGTGCCACCTGGTCGCCACTCTGCGGCTGCACCTATCTCAGGCCTATACCCAGAGGGCAGCCTTCCCACCTTGCCCCAGCCTGCCCTATCCCTGCTCGTGGCTGCTTACACCGCTGTGGTTTGGGTTGGGGGTCTTTTCTCTTTGGGGACAGAGCTAGCCATTGGGGAGGCAGTGGGCCAGGAACCCCTCAGTCCACGCCCAGTCGGGTGCTCCTGGGACGGCCGCTTGGTGTGGTTTCACCTGGCGTGTTTGCAGATGGGTCTTCTCTGCACTGTTGAAGAGTAAATTGACATCCCCCCAGGTCCAAGGAGCAAACCATTTTTTGAGTAGGATTTTTCCAGGTGGAGATGGGATGGTGCCCCCTGGAGGGGTGGAGAAGCCCCTGAAAAAGGGACAAACTGGGCAGGGGGTACTGCGTGCCCAGCAGATGCTGAGGGCCCCTGAACTTTTAGGAGGAGGCATTGTGTCCCTGCTGGTGCCCCATGCTCCCCAGGCTCAGGGAGGAAAGGGCTCAGGAGGTCAGAGGGGCCAGGAGGGGACAAGTGGATGGAGGCCGTCTGCCATGGGTGGGGTGTGTAGGGGCAAGGCTTGCACTATGTGGAGGGTCCTGGGCCACCATGGCCAGTTCCTTTCCTGCCAAAGCCCCTCGCTTGCTTGCTGATGAACTGCTGCTGCTACCGCAGAGGGCGGGTAGGCGCTGGTCACACGGCTCAGGCTTACACGTGCCCGGCGTGTTGGCCGACAGATCCCGCAGTGGAGGTGGTCAGTGCCATGCAAGACCTGGCGGTGGAGGAGGGTGGCCCGGCCGAGCTCCTCTGCCAGTACTCACGGCCAGTGCATGCCACGTGGAAGATGGACGAGCAGGAGGTGCGCGCCGACGGGCGTCGCGTCATCATAGAGCAGGACTGGACCGTGGCCAGGCTGTCCTTCAGGCCAGCCTTGCCCTGCGACAGTGGCATCTATTCTTGTGAGGCTGCGGGCACCCGAGTGGTGGCTCTGCTGCAAGTGCAAGGTGAGGCCGCCCAGCAGGCAGCCCAGGCCTAGCAGGCTTCGGCATGGCCAGCCAAGACGCAATGGTGGAGCATCGGGCAGGGGCAGCCAGCAGAGCGTGACCGTGCCAGTACTAGAAAGATGGGATCTGAGCAGTAGGTCCTGCTGAAGCTGGCTGGGCCCTGAGCCCACCCATCCAGACCCCACCCCTCCTAAAGCAGCCTGATAACACAGGGTGGCTGGACAGACCCTGGGCAGAGACTACCCCTAAAAGAATCTGCATCCAAAACACTGGGGAGGTAGAGGCAGGCAAGGAAGCAGCCTCCGGGCGGGTGAGCAAGCAGGCCTGGGGCCACAGGACCCTCCGCAGGGCTCTACGTGGGGCTCTGTCCCCACATCCTGGACTCAGATCCCAGCTCTGCCCCTTCCCAGGCTGTTGCTTGGATGGTGCACCAAGCCCCATGACCTTGAAAAGATATGCTGTTGGGGAACCAGGAGCAGGGGACAGTGGGCTGCCCCACTGTGTGGAAGGGAGCATTGTTTGGCTGAAGCCACTTGATCTTTGGGAAAATCTGGACTGTCCCTGGTGTTGAGTGAGCTGGAGAGTGGAGACAGTTGTCGGGGCCATCCAAGCTGGAGAGCAGGTGTGAGCAGGTGAGACCAGTCTCCCACAGGCCACGCGAGGTCTCCA